AAATTTCAGAATCATGTGTCATTCATGTAATATTTTAGATGAACACATATGAGTTTATCAGTGATGTTCAAGGCAGGAAATATATAAAAATGGCAATTAGCTTTTTTAATAATCATATTCTGAAAAATAATTATTCATAATGAACATAAGTTGATTGAATTGTTTATATTTATTTTGATATTGATAACCGAAGACTGATTGCGAAGAATTTTCTATAATGATTTATTCGTAGCAAGCAATGCATTCGCTTTGCTATAATGTTTTCATTGTAATTGGGAAAATTAATTGCATTAATTTTACTATATTATATTCGCGGTTATGCATTCGGGAAAATATTTTTTCGCATCGGCACTCATGGTAATTAATTTTCGATCATGCTTTTCGCGATTTTCGCGTTGACATATATAACCAAAAATAGAATATAAATAAAATAGATATACACGTTCCTGAACATAATTTCTTACAAGAAAATGTATGGAAAATGCTTTTGTCCTGAATCTCAGCTTAATTCTTATGAGTATTTGGAGGAGGAGATTAAAATATAACAAAGGGAAAAATATAAATATATAAGCCTAAATAATTTAAAATTACATGAATTTAGAAATCCATACCGAAAGCGAGTTTTGAAAATTAATCAAAAAATCCAGTCAGAGCCTAATAATAATCACCTCTCTAAAACAGAGATTTGTAATCGATGGGTTTTTAGCTCATACTGTGGTGCGGTTGGACGGGTTAAAAATTATAAACATTGCGCGGGTGGGTAATATTTTTCGGGTGAAACAAGTAGAACGAGCATATAATTATTTTAAAATTTATTTTATTTTATTTGAATACGTTTAAGTAAAAACATATTAAAATAAAATAAGAAGCAAAATAACTTAGGTAACCTCTTATCACATTAACAATTGAGTGTTATCATAGGCTACCGAATTGAATGTAACATCGTTCAACCATATACATGCATAAAATGTAAAATACAGGTTGATTCCAAACAGTGGCCCCTACAACGAGGGGGAGGGGAGGTCCGAAGCAACTGCTTTTAAAAATTTGAGTGGAGGTACTCTTTTTTTTTATTTTATTTTAATTTTTTATTTTAAAATTTTGAGTGGGGGTACTTTTTTAAAAAATTTTTTTATTTTAAATAAAAAAAATTGTTTTTAAATTTAATTTTTTTATTGTTTTGCTACATCCATCCCTAATTAATTGATTTCTGGTTTAGGCTGCATTCATAGTGGAGACGGATCCGATTTTTACATCCGTTCCGTCAAAAGTCAATCTCATTAAAAATGATATATATGTTCATAGTGTGTCCGTTCCGATACCTTCCGTCTTAAAAACGGATCCGGCAAATTTTGAAGTCAAAACATTTTGACTTTTTGATCCGGCAAATCTTATAGAGCGTTATAACGTTACTTACAATTTTATTATAGTCTATGAACATTTATATCATTTTTAATGAGTTTGACTTTTGACGGAACGGATATAAAAACGGATCTGTCTCCACTATGAATGCAGCCTTATGTATGTAATAATAAGACCCCCCCCCCCCTCCAACTTATTATTTAATTTAATTAGTATTGACGGAAATTTTGGCCGATGTTTAGTAAATTAGGTTGTTATCCAAGATTTCTTGTAATAAATTATTTTTTCAATTTCAAAATATGCCCAAAAATATTAACCAAAAAAAATAAAATGTGTTAGATGAAAATAGAATATCTGACCCTTTTAATGATCATGAAATTTAATAGTGATATTATTGTGCATGTACATAAGATGGCCGATTATGGAAGGCTTTCACACAACAAAAATTCCATATTACAATTTATAATACCCCAGAAAGAATGTGTGGATAATAACCGTTCTATCATAAGAATAATAATAAGATGACTAGGTTATTTAATATCTCGTAACAGAGCCTTCTGGGGGAACAGGCTACAAGAAGGCAATATGATGGGCCTTATTAAACTCATTGCAGATTCTGAACCTGTACTGGGAGAAAAACAATAAGGGATTAAAAACGAAATTATATGCAAATCTTTTAACATATAATAATATAAATATTCTCATTGAAACCATGAAAAATATGGTTATAAAAAAAAATTCAAAATGAGATTGAATTTAACATGTGCTTTTCAATCATAGTTGATGGCACATATGATGTTTCGAAATCAGAAGCACTAGCTTTGATAGTAAGATATGTTAAAAATAGTGAGACTTCTAAACCCATTGAAGGACTGATAGACATATTGTATGGGAAATACAACTGGTCTCGATATTATAAAGAATATAATATCCAAACTTGGCTCCATGATTTTACCTCTTGAATTCCTAGATGGGCAAAGCTATGATGGCTACTCAAACATGAGTGGAAGAATCAATGGAGTGCAGGCTTTGATTAGAGCGGAGGCGCCAAACGCAGCTTTTATTTGGTCATCGATTAAATTTAATCATTGTTCAATTATGTCAATCAATAAATGAATTACGAAATGTTTTAAGAATATTAGACGAGATTATATATATATTAATGGTGTTAAAAGATATATGGACAAAATTGCAACGATTTCTACGCATCAAGAATTCCACTCGGTAATATATCTTATTTGTTTAGATAGAAGCTGGCTATTGTCTTATAAAGCTATTGTAAATTTTTCCTACTTGCCTTGAGGGCAGTTTTAACAAATTTAAAGGATTCTGAAGATACTGCCACTTCCACTATGGCTAGTGCTATAGTCTTTAGAATAGAAAAATTTGATTATTTTATCACTTTGTGTTTTGGATAAAATATTGTTGATAACAAGTTTTGCTTGTACAAAATTTCAAACCATTTCGAAGGATATAGGGTTTTCAATAAATCAAATTTAATTGGCAAAAGATTGCCTGATTAATTTGAGAAATATAATTTAAATTGTCTATAATTATTTTTTAATCCTAATAGATAATAACACTGAATTTTTGGATGTTTTTTCAAAAGCACAAGATTTTATGAAGGAGAGAAATCTAATTTTATCATTGAAAAAATATTTAGTTAAACAACTTTATGGGCCGGGTATGGGTCTAATATTATATTTTCTAGCGGGCCTGGGCCGGGCCTGGATTTTAAAAAAATTTTCTTAATGGGCTTGGGCTGGGTTTGGGCAAAAATTATTAAATTTAAATTTAGATTATTTAAAACAGTTGCTAATTTAAAGAAATATTGCTTTTTTTTCTTCTAATAATAATAAATTTCAGTATTGTAAACAAAATGATTGCCTAAATATATTTAAATATTGTTTATTTTCATTAAATAATAAAAATTAAACTTTTGGATATGGGCTTGGGCCGGATTTGGGAAATTTTTTTGAAACTTATCATGGGCTTGGGAATTTTTTTTAACATTAGATATGGGCCGGACCGGGCTTGGGCCTAAAAAAAATTTACTACGGGGTTGGGCCAGGCTTAGTCAAAAAATTAAGGCCCATGAAGGTCTCTGCAATAAATAATAATATAATTATACAATCTTTCGCTTTCTCTTTACCCAATTTATCTAAATTATTAATTTAAAAATAATATTTTTTACATTTTATTTATATTATATATTAAAGATTGTTGAAATAAAAATTATTTTTAAAATTTATGGGTGTCAAAAAATAACCATTTTTTTGAGGGGGGGGAGGTGGACTATTCTGCTTCCATCCCTCAGAAAGTGTAGGGGCCACTGGTTCCAAAGGGTGACTCGGTCTTAATTGTAATAATTAAGGCAGACATGCAAGGCATGCAGTGCATAAGTTAGTTATTAGCCGTTTTCTTATGAGGGCCCATAAACCTAACACCCTGGAGTCTGCTATTCTATTATAAGATAATGGCTTAAGGCGATATGGTTTAACTTCTGAACCTTTGTCAAGGTAAATCCTTAATTTAGGATTTACATACGACTCTTCAGTACCAAAAAATGCAAATTCTAATCTGGTTAATATAGCCGAGAAAAAATATCAATATTCTAAATTAACAAATTCCCTTGGGCAAATGTCAAGCGGAACTTTAAAATTTTTAAAAAATATAGGCGATAAAATAAGAGCCACATCAGAACCTAAGGAATTTTTTATTAAAATAAAATATTCAAATTACTATTTTTTGGAACTTGTTTGTAGTTCCTTTTTTTATTAGTCTTAAAAATTATTTGTCCATCTGGGCCAATTTAATATATAAAAATTTAATTTTTTGAGGGTAAAAAAAAATATTCAACAAATATAATAGCACTTTTTGCAAGAATTTTAAAATAAATCAATTTATTTAAAATATGCAATATTCTATTTAAAAATTTGGCATGACCAGCCCAAACCGAAATTAATTTGTAAAAATAAATGGTAGCTAAAAGATATCATGGGCGTAAAAATATAAAACATGGCCAGCGGACGTTTCGGCTAAAAATCTGCCATCGCAGACCTCTGATTTTATATTTGTACGATAAAATGTATAAACAAATATAAATAATTAATAAATTATTGTTATAATATTTTTTTCATTGCATATTATTATCAAAAATAAAATAATAATAAATTGCAGGTGAAAAAAATCACGTGACTAAGAGAGCCAATCAGGTGCGATATAACGAATAATATAATAAGAAAATCTATAATATTTATTTATTAATATAAAATGTAATGGGGAATAAAATTGTTTACCATTTATTTTTTACTCCAATGTTTTTATAATAATTCATGCATTTAAAAAAATAAAAATGCCGGTAATGAAAAAAAATAAATTAAAATCTTCAAAATAATTTTTTTTTAAATAAATTTTCAAAAATCCAAAATAATAATAATATTACCATTTATTTTAGGATTATTTTTTTAAAATATTTAAAACAATTTTATAAAAAATTATTAATTGTCAAATGCTGGAATATTTACATTCTACTTATAAAATAATATGACAAACATAATTATTGTCAATATTTCAAGTGATGAAAATGACTGAAAAATTCCTTCCAAGATACTCAATCTTTTCTAAGAACCCATCATATTCGCATTTAACGGTCTTAGTTATTTATTTTGTATCCATTTTGAATTCGGAATTATTAAGGGTATCATGCTCTCAAGCCAATGCAGATCCCAGTTATGAAAAAGAAATATCCCCCAAAATGGGTCAACATACGCCCAACACGAGGTTTAACAAAATTCAAGAAAATGTCTTAAGGGAAAGTGGAACGATAACTTTAGCCGACAGTCCTTACTATGTATCCGAAGATATTATTATCCCATCAAAAGCTAGTGTATACATCGAACCTGGAGTCGAGATTCGATTCGCACCCGGAGTAGGAATAGACGTATATGGTACGCTCATTGCCAAGGTAATATATAAATCATATATATTGTTTGGCCCATCCATAAATTTATTCTAAAATTCAAATTTTTAAAAAATTGAAAGGTTTATAGTAATTTTATTTTTATATTATATCTATTCATTTTTTTGATATACAAAATACGATATTATTATAATTTATATTAATATATTACTTTTGGAAATATATAAATAAAATAGTTATTTTTTTCAATTAAAATGAAAAGAAGAGGGGTGGGGGGGGGATTGTAAGGTTGGACATGTCAGAAAAAGCAACTAGTAATATTATTAAATGATATTATCCATCTATTCCCTCCGTATCTTTTGAATTAGAGAATTTTTGGGATTTTGAGATAGCATGCGCCACTGGGGGGAGGGGCACACAGAAGTGAGCTCCCTAAAAGAGTTGAGGAGTCCTTAAAATGGTCATTTTTAAAATGTTAACTTAAAAAGGAAGGTCATTTTGAAAATAATTTATTTGAGCCCCATGAGATTGTAAAGGCTAGTGACACCCATATAGCTCATATTTTTTATGAACAATAAAGAAGTAACTGACCCAAGTTTTTCAAGGTGCTTAGCGTGATAAGATTAAAATGATAAAATTGAGATAGAAAACATTATATTTTTTAGAAACCTTTGTTCAATCAGCCCCGTCTGTTTGCAACTATTGTATTTTATTTGGTTGTTGGGACTTAGTTTTAGTTTACCTACACGCCCATTTATATTTCTAAGGTAATGACCGTGATATTATCCCGCTAAAATAAAATTTTTTAAATCTACCCTGGAAAATGCTATATAAGTGATTTATAAATGAATTATTAATTTAAATATAAGTTGTTTTTTTCGAAAGCGTTATAAATAAATTATGATTATGGTAAAATCTTAATTTTTATTTTTCTTAAAAATTCTATTGTCTATCAAATGTTCAAATATTTTGAAAAAAAATTCCGGTATATTCAATTAGAAAACATTTTACACGAAATATATCAATTAAAAAATATTTTAAATTTTAGGAATTTTTTTTTCTAAAATTATTTTAAATTCCCTACAAATATTTTATTAAAAAAATCTAAATCATGCTTAAATTAAATAAGAAATATGTTTATTCATTTAGTTTGTATATTATTATGGCTATAATAGTTATAAAATGGACGACCTAATTTTATTTTAACATATGATATCTAATCAATAATTTATATTAACAGTTAAAAACCTAAAATGTTTTGGTTGAAAGATTATAGGATAATTATTTTACATATAATTCTTGTTTTTTTTAAAAATCTTAAATAATGATCCATTACGGACCGGACAAATCAACAAATTAAAATTTATAAAGAAAATATTTAGAAACTATCAGAATAATGCATGGTCAATCCCTCACTTTGTTTATTTGAATGAAGCCTTCTAATTTCAGACAATTTTAAACATTTTTCAAAAGTTACATAAAATGACACGGTATAATATTAAAATCTTTCAATAAACTAGACAAAATATAAGCTATTTGTTCTTTTCGTCTATACTTTAAATATGATTTTATCAGTGGTGTCTGCCGTTAGCTTTTTCAACTTTGAGGAGGCTACATGGAGCGTCTAAAAAAATTCTCCCGAATTCTATCTAAAATAAGCAAAAATTTTGTCTATAATTTGCAAAAAAAGAAATCCATAACTTAAAAATGTTTCAAGTGGGCTCCCAAAGTTTTTCAGAAGGTTTGAGATCATCGACCCTCATTAACGCGTCGCTATTAACTTTATTATACTTCTATTTTAATAACACCCGAGCTGAGTACATTAATAAAATTCATGCATGAATATAATTATTAATGGTATTTATAGAGATCATCTGCAGGCCGGTATATCCGGACCACGAGATATTAAAAAAATCTGGTTGAGTTTGAAAACAAATATATATTGTACGCCAGTTCAGGTCGGGCCTAAAAAGTTCTTTTTTTTACAAAAATCCCGAATTTTTTAAAAAAAAATTAAATTACTTAAATTTAACTACCTGGAAATTGTAATAATGAACCATTTAAAGTTCAATTTACCTTTGAAACAAATTAAAAAATACAATCATAATTAAAATGAACGAATTTCAAAAAGTCCGGCGGGGCAGAGTTGCCAGATCTCACCCATTTTGGGGGAGACTTCACCAATTTTTTTAACAATTATATAAATAAATACCTTAAAAGAAGGTATAGTCACTTAAACCAAAAATCAAATAGTCAAATATAATTACTATTATTTTACGATTATTAACTACTATTATATTTTGCTATATGTAGACGTAAATTATATATATACTAAACTACGATAATTAGGGGCGACAAGGGTAAAGCGATTGACGGTGTAACAATGATAGCGCGAATAACTTTTTAACATTTGAGCTTAAAGAAGTATACATGTTCCTTAAAGTCATATCTATAAAATATCGGAAGTTTATTGTTTAACTAGAAGTCACGCAATAACGATTTGTATAATATATATTACCTTGGGGTTGACCTATGCGCCGACGAAACTATCGGCAGCCGTCGCAATTTTCAAAAATCTAATCGACGGCTGGCGGCGCGCCGATTTTTAGCCGCCGTCAATAAAATAGGCGCAGTTATAATTTTTTTTAATTGCTTATTAATTTTTAAAGAAAAACAAATAAATATACACTATTCTACAGATATCTCGGCATATTTTTTAATATTCATTTAATAGAAAACTTATTATATCCAAAATCGATTTCGCAATTTTATAATATCTTGTATAAAAATTATTTATTTAAATTTTCGGGACATAATGATGATCTCCTTGAATTTAACGTCAATCCAGCGGTAGAGAAAACTCTTTCACTAGGTGATAGTGCCGGAATGCAAAGAATTTTTTTGTCGAGACTGGAAAGATTGGGAAGTTCACTCTTCTTTTCTCTCCAAAAATTTAGAACGTCCATATCTTGTGAATGTCGTTTTCCAAGAAAACTGTGGCATTCTTGTTCTAAGCCACCTAACTTGGAATCATAATTTATATTTGTTGAATGTTTATTTGCCAATTTTGTCAAATAACTTGAATTTAATAATTCATATTCATCCTCATTAGCAATATTTACTACCTGATTATCCTCATATTATAAATTCGAAAGCTGAGCAATTTTGCTCTATTAAATACTTTGACACAATTGTCAATTTTTAAAATCTTGGATCTAAAACAGAAGCTAATACCTAGATAATTTTAAATAAAAAATAAAAGAATATACTTATATAATATTATTTGCAGATTACAAACCGGAAATCGTAACGCAAGTTTTTTTAGTATATTTTCCTTAAGTCAAATAATTTCAGAACTATCACTATCATTTACTATTAAATGTGTTTCTTCAATTTCACTTCTAAAAAGTAACGCCAAGTTTAATGTAGGCCCTTTTTGTACTGAAAGAAATTCGATAGTTTCTTTAAATTTTTAAAGAAATGCTAATAGTTCTTCTACCAGATCAGATTAATAATTTGAGAAAGTGCTTCCCAATTCTTTTTAAAACATTATTAATTAAATCCTTATTTAATCCAGATATGCTTTCTAGCATAATTATTATACTATGCCTACGTGTTGGGCTTGGGACATTTAATTTTAAGGTTTTCAAATACGTGGAATTATTGTTATTATTATCATTGGAATTGCCAATTTGAAAACGGGTACTCGGGTAAGGATCAATGCTGTCAAGATCTAACATGTCTGATGTTAAATCTAATGTACTTAGACCTTTTCTTTGATATTCCTCGAATTCAAATTCAACTTCTGCAGTTTTATATCATAGAGCAGTATTTCTCTAATTCTTTTGCAAAAAATTTTCAGACTATGGATTTTTTATTATCCAGAGTTAGGATACTAAAATTATTTATAGAATTATTAAATGTAGATACATCCATTTTAAAAATATGTAAAATTATGGTAACTTTTGGAATTTTAGATTTTTGATTGATTGAATTCTATAATGAGTCAATATAATTATGATTTTAAAATAGTAGAAAATAAAAATTCATCAAAATCCTGATTGACATTAAAAAATTACAAGAGTGATGTTGACCAATTATTAGAATAAAAAGGCATAAAATATGATTTTCTTAAACGGCGGCATTTTTGGCGTAACCAGGCCGGCAGGCGCATAGTCTACCTTGGGGTAAAGTTGTTATGGATAAAAAGGTTAAAATATTTCGTCTGATTACTGTAAAAATATAATTTTATTAACATCTCCACCAAATATATTTTTGAGCAAAAAGGAACATTAATAAATAATTTGTTTTATTTGGAATTAAATTTAAAAATAATCGCAAAGGAGTAAATAATTGAAATGATTTGTTAAAAATATTTACATTTCCATATTGTATCCATTAGTTTATATATTTAAAAGTATGAATAGATGTCATAATTGCAGTATTTTGTTCAATAAAACAATAATGTTCAATTTTATTTTTACCACTTTACCCTGGTGCATATTCATCTTACCCTGGGTATGATGCATTAATTAATCATAGCTCATTGTAGGTAAAGAGCTACACTTTTTATTATTTTGTAGATGAGGGATTTGGCTAATATAAATCTATAATTTTTAATGATTTTTTTGTTTCAAAATTTTATGTTAAAAATGGAAAATATCAATTCAGTCTCCACTAATTAAAATATTAAATACTTTTAATTTTTACATTAAATAAAATTAGTTACTAATTACGATAATATCAACCATATGTTTTTCTTGAGTTGGACTCGGGCGTAACTAGGCTAAAGGACTGCAAAAAATGGTATGCAAGCGTTGCTTCTATTTTGATACATGCAATAAATTGATCTGGAAATCCTGGAGCCAGGTTTGAAATGGAGAAAAACATAATTCAAATCAAGGCCAGGAATAAATATTTGACCTCTGCAAGACCCTGATTATGATATACTAAATAACTTCGTAAACATGGATTTTTTCATTTCTCGTATTCCACAGATATTTGATACCATATTCAAGGCATAAATCAAAGCGATCATGCGTTTA